CTGTGTGGGTCTGTTTGATTTTTTTTATTTAAATGTTGTGTGGAAAGGTTGTAAAGAGTGCATGCATGAGTAAGTATCGTTTCTATATTATATTTTGTAAAAAAAAAAGTTAGGTGAGTCACTCTGTTTATTTATGTTGTCTGGCGTGAGCAAGCATCGTTTCTGTTTACATATATTTTGTAAATTGACGGTATAAGAAGTATTAATTAGCAAGACTTTCAGGAATGAGCGACAGAAAAAGCACAAACGATGTAGAATAATTGCACATTGTGATATTATCCTGCGATAGATTAGTCGCACTCTCGCCAAATCATGAACTCGTATCACGAATGAAAAGTTTTGAATGTCGTAAAAAAAAAATAATAATAATAATAATAATCTTTATAATTAACGATAGATAATTAATTCATTATCGGTTTCCAGGAGGACACCATTTCATCACACACTTTGTCTAGCTCTAAAACTCTTGATAAACAGTAAGAAATATTTTCGTTCATTGCGATTATCAGTCCCTTAATGTACCCAAGTGTGACATCATTAATATAACTTTTTCATGGTAGAGCAAGCTGTGATTATCATCCTATTTAAAACACACATTATCTTTAAATCTTACATATCACAAAACTGTCACCCCCCCCCACCCACCCACTGTAATCCACCCCCTTCTCGATTACTCTTGCCATGCAGCTGCGAAGTGGCCCTCCCCCTCCCCCCCCCTCGAGAGTGCAGTGCGTTGAGTGCCTTGTCGGTTTGTTTGTTTTTTCTTTCATTTTTTCCATTATATCTTTTGCTATTTTTCCTATTATAGAATTTAAACGAGTGCGGAGGAGGAATAGGCTAGAAGAGAGAGAGGGAGAGGGAGGGAGGGAGGGACGGAGGTAGGTAGGTAGGGAGAGAGAGAGAGATGAAGAGAGAGTTAAAGAGAGAGTTAAAGAGAGAGAGAGAGAGAGAGAGAGAGAGAGAGAGAGAGAGAGAGAGAGAGAGAGAGAGAGAGAGAGAGAGAGAGAGAGAGAGAGAGAATAAGGGAGAGAGAAAGAAAGAGAGAGAGAAAGAAAGAGAAAGATAATAAGGGAGAGAGAGAGAAAGAGAAAGAGAGAATAAGGGAGAGAAACAGAAAGAGAGAGAGAGAGAATAAGGCAGAGAGAAAGAGAGAGAGAGAGAGAGAGAGAGAATAAGGCAGAGAGAAAGAGAGAGAGAGAGAGAGAGAATAAGGCAGAGAGAAAGAAAGAGAGAGAGAGCGAGAGAATAAGGGAGAGAGAAGGAGAGAGAGAGAGAGAGAATAAGGGGGAGAGAAAGAAAGAGAGAGAATAAGGGAGAGAGAAGGAAAGAGAGAGAGAATAAGGGAGATAGGAAGAAAGAGAGAGATAATAAGGGAGAGAGAAAGAAAGAGAGAGAGAGAGAATAAGGGAGATAGAAAGAGAAGGAGAGAATAAGGGAGAGAGAAAGAAAGAGAAAGAGAGAATAAGGGAGATAGAAAGAGAGAATAAGGGAGAGAGAAAGAAAGAGAAAGAGAGAATAAGAGAGAGGGTAGGAAAAGAAAGAAAAGGACATGAAGGACAGAAGGGCACAGAGAAAGGCAGGAGGCGGAGAAGAGAAGCAAGAAGGGGGGTGGGGGAGGCAAACAAACGGAGGCAGATGAAGGGAAGGAAAGGGAAAGACAGAGAGAGAGGCTCAATTCTCTTCATAACGAAGCTTAACATAAACCCACATTTCCTCCTCCTCCCTCTCCTCCCCCATCCTTCCTCCTCCTCCTCTTTCTCTTCCCCTTCCTCTTTTTTCCTTACCTTTCCTCTTCCACCTCCCCATCCCCATCTTCTTCCCTGTCCTCCTCCTTCTCCTCTTCCTCCTCCTCCTCTTCCTCCTCTTTCTTTTCCTCTCCCTCCTCCTCCTCCCCCTTTTCCCCATCCTTCTTCTTCCTCCCCCTTCCTCCTTCTCTTCTCCTCTCCTCCCCTTCCCTCCCCTCCCCTCCCCTCCACCAGCGCAGCAAACCCTAAAAAATGTACAAGTAAATCTGCCCAATTTATCCCTCTCTCTTCCTCGGCCGCATCTTGACCCCGTCCCCTCCGCGCCTTCTGCAGGAGAGGAGGGAGCGCTTTGGTGCTACGAGTGCGGGACCAACGTGACAGGAGAGCCGGACTGCGTGGAGTTCCTGACGTCTGGAACCTGGACTGCGTTCCGGAGGCAGTGCGCGGGCGACGACGTCTGCGTCAAGACGGTCCCCGGATGGAACATGGCGGACGAAGAGGGCGCTAGTGTAAAAGGTTTTTTGCTTTTTTTTTTCTTCTTCTTCTTTTTACACCTCGTTTTTTTGTGTGTTTCTGTTTCTGTTTGTTTTCTGTTAGTTTGTCTTATCTCTTTCGCTGTGTCTATCTCTGTCTATGTATTTTTCGCTGTAGCTTCTCTCTCTCTCTCTCTCTCTCTCTCTCTCTCTCTCTCTCTCTCTCTCTCTCTCTCTCTCTCTCTCTCTCTCTCTCTGTCTCTCTCTCTCTCTGTCTCTCTCTCTTTCTCTCTCTCTCTTTCTAATATGCATAGTAGGTAAACATAGTAAAATATTTGAACTCCTCTCTTTCACTCCAGTATTTGATTTTTTTAATATTTTATATTTCTGCTGATCATTATGTACATTACTTCCCATTTGCACGATTATTACCCCTTTTTAATAGTCATATTTGATACTGATATACTACTAAATGTATACAAATATATGCCACTGTTCTTGCATTTAATTCAAAGGTTTTGTGTTCCAACCAAGCAACCAATCGCCTCATTATCTGCCCAATTAACTAATTAGGCAGCTACCCGATAAGTCGTTATCTCCCATCTCACCATATTTGCCATTTATCTCCCAATTATATAATTATTTCCTGAACCTGTGATAATCGACGCTCTTTCCCGGTCGGTTTCGTCCTTCCGGGCACGTTGTGTATTGTCCACTTCCTCCACTTTCAGATTTTTTCTTTATTAATCCATATTAAATCTTTTTCTGCGATTTCTTATTATTTTACTTAATCCATACACACACTCTCTCTCACACACACACACACACACACACACACACACACACACACACACACACACACACACACACACACACACACACACACACACACACAGACGCACACACACACACACACACATGTGTATATATATATATATATATATATATATATATATATATATATATATATATATATATATATATATGTATATATATCCGGCTTAACATGTCTGATGGATGGCTAGCTAATCCACTAATCCACATGTCTGTCTCCGGTTCGATCCACAATCCGACAATCCAGTCAGAGATTAGAGGGCCAGTCCATTATTTGATATGCCTTTTCTACCTTTCTACCTAAATCTATCCTAATCCTAGTATAATTTCGTAGTTCAGGAATTGTTCATCCACCCAGTCACCCTTGATTATTTTTATCCACCCAACTCGTCCACTTACCGAGTTTTCATCCACTTCCCTCATCCACATCCTTTACCACGTGTCTTAATCCACCCACCGTTCTCTCCCTAATCCACATCTCATCATCCACGCTTTAATCCATCCATTATCCACACCTCTCAGTCCACCTCCCTCATCCACATCTCATAAGCCATCTCCTTGTAATCCATCTTCTATCCACACCTTAATCCACGTCCCTTATCCACCACCATCCACATCTAATCCACCTCATTCACCACATCTCTCAATCCACCTCCGTTATCCACCCACCATCCACATCTGCCCATCCACCTCCCTTCCCCACCTGCCAAGCTCCATATCTTAATCCATCTCCCATATCCACCGCCCTAAACCACACCATCACCCCCCTTCCCTCCCCCCCACACCGTGCCCCGCCCGCCGCCCTCCGCTCACTCTCCTCTCCGCGCAGAGAGCTGGGTCTCGCGCGGCTGCACGCCCCAGCGCAGCGTCGGCGGCGTCGCGCACAAGGACGGCTGCTGGTCAGGCCCCAACTCGGCCTTCCTCATCTGCTATTGCTCCAACGACTTCTGCAACGCCGCCCGCACGCCCGCGCCCGCACTCACGCCCGCGCTCCTCGGTCTGGTCGCTGCGTATGTGGTGTTGGGTGGGTGAGGGAGGGGAGGGGGGAAGGGGAGGGGGAGGGGAGGGGAGGGGTGGATGTGAGGGTAGGAAGGGGAAGTGATGGAGGAGGGAGGGAGGAGAAAGGGGGGAAGAATGGGTGGAGGGAGAGGGAAAGAAGAAGAAAAGGAGGAGGGAAGAAGTGAGGGAGAGAGAGGATAGAAAGGGGAGAGGGGGAAGGAGGAGAGAGAGGACAGGGGCAAGGATGAAAGAGGAAGACGAATGAGAGAAGAGGGAAAGAGGGAGAGAGATTGAACTGAGGGAGGATGGGACAGGAGAAGGGAAACAGGAAGAGGCAAGGAAGAGACGAAAGACAGGAGGGAAGGAGAGATAGAGAGAGGGAATTAGAAAACGGGATGAAGCGACGAGTGAATGAATGAAAAAGAAAAGGCTGAGAGAAGAGGGGAAGGAAAGAGAGAGTGAGAGAGAAGGGGAGAGATGCGTGATGGACCAGCCAGGCCACTCATCGTGAGGAAATGGGATGAATATTGTGAGTGAGATGAGTAAAATATTTCTCATGGTGGACTTCCTTTGTTGATAAATATACTGAATTGTTATTATTATTCTCATCTTTATTTTATGTACTTGTATTTCTTTTAGGTTAAATATCTCTTTAAATACTAAAGTGCCAAAAATTTATAAATGTATGTTCTATGTTAAATTCATATATTAATACATATAGTAAATATAACTTCCCCATTTTATGCATATATACACATTTCTCTTGTTTGAAAATGAATTCGAAATTATATAAAAACTTTGTAAATCAAAAAGTATAAATTTTGTGTAAGCTAGTCAGTTTGTATTAATTTTCGCTGTAATATTTACGTAATTGTGTATATCACTCATCTCAAAGCTGTTGAAAGTTTATATTGATGTATCACTAGTCAATAAAATAAGATATAATTGA